GCGGCCGCAGCGGCTTAGGCTGGCGCTGGCTGGCTGCCGGGAGCGGGCGCCTCCCTCTTCGCCGCGCGCCCTCGTCCTGTCCGCGCTGCCCGGCTCCCACTGTGGCTGCGGCCCCAGCTAGGGAGTATCAGGGATCTGCAGCCTCGCGATCGAGCGTTAGGGGCTGCGGCAGGTGACCCGGGGCCACCCGAGGCGCGGTGGTCCTGAGACTGGCCTCCATCCATGAGCCTCGCCGCGGACCTGCTTCAGGCCGGCCACTCCGGGTGAGTCCTCGAGCCCTCCCCTCCGCGCCCGCAGCTCGATGCCATGCTCCCCTGCCACGTTGCGGCAACTTTTGGGGTGGGTGTCTGAAGATGTCGCGCGCGCGGTCCCCCGCACCTGGTGCGCGTCCCAGACCCGGGATGCGAGGCATGACAGCCTGCCTCTGCGAAGGGGCTGGTGGGGATTTGAACTTGGCCAGGACGGAGTCATGTCCGCCCCTTTCCGTGGCTGCTGGGGCGGGAGCTGGCCCCTGCGATTCCGCGCTGGCCACGTAGCGCTCGGGCTGCGGTGCACCGCGCACCTTGCTAAGGGACTAGCGCTCTGGCGGGTGCCTCAAACCACCCGGTGCGCACCCGGCAGTTGGTCAGCACAGGCCACGTGACTCTTTTTAGACTCCTAATGTTAGCAAAATGGGGCTAATTAGGGACTCTCCGAAGGTCACGGCCGGCGCGCAGCGTTAACCCCCAAGGCAGACTGCTTCTGGGCTCAGCCCCCAGGCTGCCAGTTGAGGAGAGGTGCGCTGGTGAAGGTACTGGGCGCGGTGTCGCTTTTCATCATGGTCTCTTTCTATTCCCCCCCCCCCCGTCTCCAAGGCCGGTGGACTTGGAGAGATCACGAGTTCCCCCACAGGGTCTCGACAGAGGTTTTGGGGGTAACCTCTGCTAATCTTCCGTGTGAGCGTTCCGTGTGAGCGTTTGTGTGTTGGGAGCCCTCGCAAGTGCGGCATCTGAGACACCATCCTCTCTGGTCACTTAATTGACTGATGTTTCCGCAGAATGCAGAGTCGGGGACTCTGCTGAGCGCTGGCGCTTATACATAACCTGTGTTTGGCTTCCGGTCTCCCAAATAAACCCCGTCCGCAGGACCTGTATCCCAGCCACTCTTTCGAGACACACACCAGAGAAGGCCAGAGAAGGGAAGCTGGAATGCTTCAAAAGGCAGCTTCCTCTAAAGGTCTCTCCCATCTGCTCCTAGAAGATTCCTTGAAATGGACTCCATTTCTGTCGGCCCCACCCCCAACCCTCTAATATACATTTTGTTTATTTTCTCGAGACTTTCCCAGGGAGAGATGGACACTTGTCTTAGGTGTTGTCAGTGTGATTCAGATCTTGGAGAGGCTGCTCTCTCATTTTGGGCTGGGGAGAGAGTTGTTCTCTTGTCCTGCCGTTACCCTGTTCCCACACAACCTCCAGCTACAACCCTTACACTCAGCGATGTCACCACTGCTATGGTCCTGTGATGATTGACAGGTGTCTTACAGACCTGTGATGACTGGCAAGCATCTTTTGAGCCTCATAGTCTTCAACTATAAGATGGAACCACCCTGATTCAGTCTTGCTCAAGCAAGCTCTTGGGGTTCCCAGGGAACCCTGTAAAAATTCACCGGGGTTGAGACACCAGGGATCTCGGGAGGGGTGTGGAAACGAGGTGACTCCAAAGATTTGACAGTGACATCAGGACCCTGTCTGCGGATCGGAATATCTTTTTCTGGAGACATTTAGTTTTGGTAAAGCTTCAAAGACTGCTTTTTATCTTCATGTGGGTGTCCATGGCCTAGATGTGGTCAGCTGTGTCTTCTGAATTACTCCCCCACCTATGGAGGAGGAGCCTCTGTGTCTCTGGAGCTGGGGACTCTAGGGGTATATGAAGCACTCCTTCTCTGTCTCTGTGTGTGTGTGTACCGATTCGCATGTGTGTATAGTCAAGCATGTCTCTGTGGAGATGGTGTGTGTGGCAGGATCCTCTTTGTGATCTGGATTGTAATCTTTCTGTGTGGGAAAGGGAAGCACGGAATTTATTCACTTCTGAGAAAGGGAACTGCTAGCCACATCTGGTAATTTAAACTAGTAGTCTTATACATCATGTCCTAGCATGAGGTGGGGGGGTAAGATGGGCTAAGTGGGGTAAGAAAACGTGTCTGTGACTTTGGTGTTCAGTTCAGTTGGATTCTCTCTTGCCAAAGAGTGCCTTTTAGAAAACCAGGTTCTCCTCCTCTCTCCTCTTCCTCCTTCTCTTCCCCTTCTCCCCCTCCCTTCTCCATTTGCCTGCTTTAGTTCTCATTGTGTTCGACACGGTCATGTCTGAGTTCAGGGAATGCAGCATTGTTGATCAGCCCCTGGTCAATTTGTTCTTAACATTTTATTAAAGTATATATATTGTAGTCTGTTACAAAGAGTTGTAGAGCTCAAAAGTGTATATTTGGGGTTCTTAATATTTGTGTATTTGAGAGACAGCTGAGCAGTTAAGAGCATTGTCCTTTTTCAGAGGACCATGGCTCAGTTCTCAGCACCTGCATGCTGTCTCACAACCAATTGTAACTCCAGTCTGGGATTTCTGCAGTATGTGCCCCCAGGCATGTGTGCACACATACATATACAATACAATAAGTGAATACTTAAAGTGTATATTCGATGAATTTTCATAGACTAGCCACACCTGTGTATCTAGTTTCCAAATTAAGAACAAAGCTATCATAGTCTCCCTATAACTCATGAAAACCATTAGCTCCACTAAACTAACAGTTTGGCCGGGCAAAGTTCATTTCATTTTTATTAAACTTTTTGGCTGTCAAGCTAAAGTGAGACTTTCAGGGTTTTGTTTTCTTGCTTCCTCCCTTTTAAGACAGTAGCTCAGAGTTCATGGAACACTCTTTATAGAGTTTAGGCTGAACTCAAACCTGTGGTTATCCTCCTGCCTCAGCCTCTGGTGTGCTGGGATTAATGGCATGAGCCATGTCTGCCTTAATTCTTTTGTTTTTGTTTTTCAAGACAGGATTTCTCTGTGTAAACAGCCCTAGTTGTCCTGGAACTGCCTCTGTAGACCAGGCTGGTCTCGAACTCACAGAGATCTGCCTGTTTCTGCCTCCCGAGTGCTAGGAGTAAAGGTGTGCTCCACTACCGCCTGGCTCTGGCTTAATTTTTTTTAAAACCTCCCTTTTAATGAGTTCAAACTAAGAGTCATTTATCTACGGCAGAAACTTAAGAGGAAAAGTTTGATCTTAGGACCTGAGTAGAGAATCAGTTGACAGCCCCACCATCCAGGGATGATGAGTTCTTTAATGGGGTGACAGCTAGTCCCCAGATATAGCAAACATTGATAAGCAGAGTTCAATTTACTCCTCTGAGTTGCTTCTCCATTGAGTAAATTTAAAGGGTGCACATCTTAAATTGTGTGGTATCAGTGAAAAATATGAATGACCTTATTTTTAATTCCTCAAAGTTAAAAGCTGGACGGGATCGGGAAATTTCCGCTGCTTTGTGAGTGGACGGGTCTGTTGTCACGTGGTAGCACCGTGTCGGCTGGAAACACAGACACCCAACATCATGAGCCCTCAGAAGAGAATCCAGAAATACAACCCAATGCCCAACATCTCCAGAAAGTTCCTCTAAATACTGCTGTT